AATCTACGCATACCGTTAGAAATATATTTGCCTGTAGATGTGCAGAATCGCTTTATAAATTAAAATAGGCTAAAAAATAAGCAACAAAAATGAATTTAAAATAAAAAAAAATTAACATGGGCCTTATGGGTTGCCATGCTGGTGACGAAATAACAACAAAATATAACAGAAAATAAAAACAAATTGAAGAAATTCCAATCACGTTTTATTTGCAGCGTGGGGTGAATATAGAGAAGTTTGCACAATACATACTTTTGGTCGAGTTTTCGAGCACGGGGCGACCTCTAGTAAAAGTAAAATAACATTTACTGTTGTATTTGAAGTTTGAACGGCAGGTGCCGGGAAGTGAGCCCTGCAGCTGATTGGCTCAAGAGCTTTTGATTGAATGAAGGATGGCCCGTGTTAAACAATTGATAGGGTCAGGAGGAATATATTTAAATACAGATGTTAAAGTGATAGACATAGCTCAAAAATATTTTCAACATTCAGTATAGTTTATTATACATTTTGTTTAGTGTTTTACTATTTTAGATTGTAATCGCTTATGGTGCCCTGTTTAAAACTATTTGTGAATTTAAGGCACCACAAATGTCTTTGCACGAAACTAAATATTCATTACCTTACATTTCGTTGAGTGGTCTCCAAATGTGTCTTATTTTTTGTAGCGCATGTTGTCACAACATCCCCCTCTTTTTGGCATTCTCAGGGCTCTTATATTCTACAGTACCCCATTTTTACATTCGCTGTCATGTGATTAACCAGCGTATCAGTAGGATCAAGACTTAAGACGCGAGTATCATAGATAGAGGTTTTACAAGATGGTATTCTATATTAATAGTAAGCGTTAATGTATTTTACACATCTTATAATATGACATTAGACAATACATAGTTGCCACGCTGAACAGAAGGCACAGTAAGTCACCAGCCATAGGTTGCGCAGACGTAGTAATTGTTGGTGGGGGGGGGGGGGAGTGACGCAATCTAATTATTTCGTAACACAAATCACCGCTTCATCAACAATAGCTAATCAAAGTTGACGGACGGAGTCTTCTCACTTTAAGCCTTGAGTTCAGACAGCCGAATTTGTAATTATGTAATTCAATACATTGCTGTTAAATGGGTGAAATTGCATTCTTAAACGAAAATGCTCAAACATATTGAACAGTGTATTTGAATTATATGACAAAAAAGTATCATTGAAATATCAATAATTTCTTAAAGTTTGTGCAAAAAGTTCAGGAATATCAATGTGGTTTGTTCTTCCTATAATTTTATTTAATCTTATCAAAGATAATAGTAGTAAAACAATACTGCTTTGTGACAAAATTACTTGAACAATCAATATGATTAACTAACTCCATTGATAAATGCAGAACCTTTATTTTGTGTTATTTTGGCTTCAAAGATTCCCTTAACTCCATTTCTGGAAACCTGAAGGTGGTTAATACATACACATACACTTACATGGTGTTCTTGTGTTTCTACATAAGGGGGGCTTACAGTGCTGGTTTGTGTTGGTTTGAAAAGCGTCCATTTTGCTGTTAGTAAGTCATAAGTCATTTATTTAACCAAAATAACAATTGCATGCATTGGTCATGTCATTAACAAAACATGCAGTTTCTTGACTTAAATAAGAAATAATAACTGTTCTTTTTTTTACACTTAGGATACCTATGATCAAACAAGTTTGATAGTTTTTTTTTTCAGCCGTCAGTCAGGAACTTACGGACGCTGTAATAAGCTTTTTTTTAAAGGAAAAGATTTAAGGGGTTTTTTTTTAAATTTCAGATGGTTTGATACTGCTTTGAGGTGAGAGGAAAGATGGTTGAACATTTTTATTGCATTATATCGGAGATGGTTTTGAAAGAAGGAAGTGTGGTGTCTAGGAACTGGGAGGGTATTTGTGGATCTCAAACTATAATGATGGTCTGTTGGAGTGTTAAACTTGCCAGTGTTTTGGTGCAGAAAGGATAATGTCTTGTAGATGTAGAGACATGGGAACGTTAATATTTCGGATGATAGAAAAACTGGTTTACAAGTCTGACGTCTATTCATTGAAAAGATGGCTCTGATTGCCCTCTTTTGAAGGCGGAATAAAAACAGAGTTCTTTTGTTCTCACACCCCCAGATAGGCAAGGTGTACACGAGATGAGGGAAGATGAGACCGTAATAAGCAGAAAGAAGGACATCGGGCTTAGATAGCTTTGCAAGGGTGCGGATTGCAAATATCCCTGAACTTACCCTATTGATGACGTATTGTATGTGGTCGTGGAAATTAATTTTCTCATCTAAGATCAGCCCAAGAAACCGTGTCTTCTCTATTGGGTGTACTGGAACTTCATCCAAGTGAAAACTAAAATACTTAGAAGATCGATCAGAGATATGAAAGTTGAGAAGTTGAGTCTTTTGAGAGTTTATCGAAAGCAGATTACTCTCAAACCACTGAACTAGCTTGTTGGCTTCAGAGAGGGTCAATTGCTCAAGAGTCTCTACATCAGGGCTGGACAAGGAAAGAGATGTATCGTCGGCATAAAGAATGGTCCTAACCGATTTAACACCCATGGGAAAGTCGTTAATAAACAGGAGAAAAAGTGTAGGGCCTAAGATGGAGCCCTGGGGCACACCTCTCGAGATAGTTCTCAGGTGAATTGAATTGCCGCAGAAATCCATGCTCATCGACTGACGATACCCGTACACACTGCCTCCTGTCCCTCAAGTATGACCTGAACCATTCTAACGCCAAACCTCTTATCCCATAGTTATGTAATTTTTCTATTAGAAGGTCATGATTAACAGAGTCAAAAGCTCTACTCAAGTCAAAAAGCAGTCCCGTGGAACAGTTTCCTTTATCAAGAGAGCAGACTATGTCATCAATGAGGGCAAACATTGCACTCATCGTAGATCTATCTTTCACAAATCCGTGTTGGTTTTCACATGACTGTCACTGACTAACTGTACACACCTTTTCTTACTAACACTTTGCTAGAATTAGATTGAGTGACTTCATTGGATGGATTAATGGATTCGGACACAAGGCAACAACTTCCATGATTGATAGGAACAACAACTTTATCCTTTACTTTTTGAGAGGATTCTTTAGGTTTGGATGTTAACTCAACGGGTTTGCCAGGATTAGATGGAGAACCGTCAGGTGGGGACAAAGACTCTCAGTAGTGATCTACAATCCACTGCCAAATAGAAATTCATAAACCTTAGACATTCAACAGGCTACTTGGTGGGATTTTAGATTCACAAAAATGTTCCAATGATTGATCAACTGTCTTGTTTGACATACCCAGAATTCTGTTGAGTTTTGACACCAATGTGTGAGAGTGGATCTCATTCTTGAGAAGCTTGTAATACCTTTAGTCAGAGGTATACAAGGAATTTTGGCTTGTTAACGTGTTTGGGATTTGGAATTTGATCGTATATTCGTTATATTTGTTTCTTCTAGTACTAAACACTACTGGATACTCTCTCGCTAGTAACAGGATACTAGTATACTTCAAAACTCCTATTGTAGGTCCAAGATCTGAAACAAATTTGAATGTAAAATTCACTGGTTATGTTTGAGCATTACTTTGGGAAACTGAAGTAGACATCCCATCTATATGAACCAGGTGTCGCCAATTTTTAATTAAACATGGTTCTGTGAGCCAGCCACAGTGTGTGCTAGTGTATAACATTATATTTTCCACTTTATTGTTGTTACTGAGATAGTAAATGGGGCAAAATGGTGCTATAGCTTACAATAAGCGGTCCTATGAGTTTGGCTTGGTTAAAAGTCTGTATATTCAACATAAATTAGTAATGATTTATATGTAATCGCAATTAGATTTTAAAACTACTGGTGACAACTTTAACATGAGGATGGTATGTCTTGTTATATCATTAGTCAAAGGTTTTAGTGTGCTGATGATGGATTTTCTCATAAATTTTTGAGTAAATGAATTGTACAGTGTGTTTTACTCTTTGGTAGACTAGTAATATAGCATAGGATATTCAACATTCTATATTGTTCCATTTGTTCAAACCATTTTGTTGTAGTAAAAAATAAAATCTTAAAAAATAAACAGTAAGTATCAAAAAACCCTCCAAATAATATTGGACATACCTGAAAATTGACCGAGCTGAGCCATAATGATAAATTTATAACGGAGTATATGATTTATCCTTGGATTTACTGAACAAAACTACTAACTATATGCATTTAAATTATAAACATAATAGACTGTGTGTACCTATCATGATAAACAACTGTGACATCAGAGCTAAGCCTGATCTAACTAGTAGAGGTTATGTGAATCACTAGATGTAGATATTCATCCTGCTGGACTTGTCCTAATGCTTATTTATGTCTCTCAGTGGCAAACTCCAGCTTAGTGTGACTTGTTATCGTTATTTAAATTGCCCGATATATCTCGACCTGGATTACCCCAGCTTCTTGCCTCATGTTCATTTTTTCCTCCGAGCTCCGTTCCCTCAGTTTATTCACGTTTCGAGTCATTTACATCCGAGACAAGTTACATTCTGCGGAATGTTCAAGTCTTGTAGTCTGCAAGAGATACTTTTTCATTTATTTTTTTTTACTATCACCTCAGAATTGTGACTTACAATGACTAATCAACAATCGCCATTGGAATATGTAAACCGCTACTATATTTCTTCACTTTACTTGGCCGTTGGGTAATTTAATGTTTTGGATTTATTTTTGACCTCTCATAACATAGAAAAAGAGAACTCAACTACTTTAAATACATAGTTCTGGCTCAAATGAACAGCTGATAAATCAGTAAAAGAGATCATCTAATCATCTCACTCCATCCACAACCACCTTGCTTACACACACATTCACCTTAGACACACCTGTACACAAAATACATCACTTTCATCATCCCCAGATGTTCATACTACTCAGATGATCCTGAAAACAATTGACATGTCAAGAACCCATCAAACATTTCCAAGACAGGTTTTATCACAGAGCTATGTTTGCAGGCAACTTCAAGGCAGGGCCTGAGCCTGGGACTATTCTCAAGAAGCTTTGTCCCAAGGAACAGCTGTGCTTCCAAGTGTTGATGAAGGATGTGCTGAGGCCTTACGTACCTGAGTACAAGGGTCACATCACCTGTGAGGACGGGGAAGGTAGGCTCATCTCCTAGATAAAATATATCTTATACTGTATATTAAAACATTTTTGCAAAACGTATGGCAGCTAGCCTGGCCATACTACTGGACTGATTTTCACGCGGGTTGTACCAAAAGAAAGGTTATCAGTCCTATATGTGCAGGTTTCATTTGTATTTTGTAAATATATTTATGTTAATTGGGTAAAAAATGGAAATTAAACTTTTCTTATGTAGATTTAACATGGGGCTAATTCTATATATTAATAACAAAAATAAAACAACACTTTTTCTCAGCTCCTGTGCATCTCAGGGAAAATTATGCATATAGTTAGAAAGATATTTGCCTGTAGATGTGGAGAATCCCTTTATAAATTAGAATAAGCTCAAAAAATAAACACAAAAAATTTATTTATAATTAAAAAAAATAACATGGGCCTTATGGGCCATGTTGGTGACGAAACAATAACAAAATATAAACAGAAAATCAAAACAAATGGAAGAAATTCCAATCACATGTTTTATTTACAGCGTGGGGTGAAAATAGGGAAGTTTGCACAATACATACTTTTAGTCAAGTTTCTGACCACTGAGCGACCTCTAGTTTTAATATAAAATCATTATGGATGAAGGAGTACAAGACCCACTTTAAAAAAAAGAGTTCCAAGCAGTTGACATTAGAACTACGCAATAATGTATTCCCAAGGCGGGTGCAGGGTGCTCATAAAATTAAGATATAAAATCAGAAAATATATAATGCTCTCTACATGATTTCCTCACATAATTCAAGGATATTTTAGAATTAACATGTTTTGATCATGCCAATTTGCTCATCACAAAAATATATGTAATTTTCTTGGAATATACTTTTAGAAATGTTATTTGATGAGTCTGTTGGTGCATTGATAGTACTGTATTATATTGTAGATGTCTTCAGTATGGAAAAGAGCGACTTTTTCAACTCTTTGTTGTGATTGTATAAAAGTGTTGAGGGTTTGCTATCAGCGTAGAGAATGATCGTTGTGTTTAAGGCTGGATGGCTGGTGGCTATTATGCCAGTTCATAATTTAAACATCACCACCAATCCTTAAATATATTGACACTGAGACCTGCTGGTCTACTGATGCGATTAGATTGGGGGACTTGAGTAGCCCAGGTTTAAATGTTATGATTCAAAATGTGATACATGAATGACCTATTGCTGCAGAGCTCTCAATTGACTCTACGTTTCCATATCTAGAACTGTCTGTGTATTGTAGTATGCTTCATAAATAAGGATATGGTTCCTGTCTGCGTTTTAACAAACTGATTTCGTGTATCATGCCATTTTATCTAACTATACTGACAATTAGATTTATAAAAACTTCATCATCATTGTAGAAAAGGTAAAATAATTTGACAACCACAATCAGAAGGGTGTGCTCAGGATTGTAGATTATTAACCCGTATCAGGTGAGTGGATATCTAATCAGTTGGTTGTGATTGTGATGTTATCTGACGACTGATTGTTGTTGCAGCCTCCTACCTACAGCTGCAAGACTTGTTGGGTGAGTTCACCAACCCCTGTGTCATGGACTGCAAGATAGGAGTCCGCACTTACCTGGAGGAGGAACTGGCCAAGGCCAAGGAGAAACCTAAACTTAGAAAAGTAAGCAACTGTCTCTGTGGCGTATATTGTGTTTTTTTAATTGATTACAAAAAGTCAAAGTGTTGTTCCTTTGGATATCCAATGTTCAGTTTTCTTTGGTTTTGTATCAGTGTACCCATTGTTATTCTGTACAGTTTATTCCTGGACGGATGATGGTTTCAGATTTAATAAGAAAATCCTGAGGTAATTCAGGTACACCAGGTTAAAGCAAACCTGGATGGGTTTGGAGTTCTAGTGGAAAACTGACATTAATTCAACATTTAAATAATAAAACCAGCAAGAATGATGTTTTTACTTATTCCTTTAAGAGTCCTAAGTGTCAAACAAGGTTTATTTTGTTGCGGTTGCCTAATCTACATGTGACAGAGAGTTGCTAATGGTCAAGACATACACAACTCTCACTAAGATGTATACTTACTAGTTATAGAACGAATCCTTTATTTCTCTGAGATGAGTGAATTGTTTTTGTTTTAAATAAAGATCCAAATTCAAGCAAAAAACTATTGGTATTCTGAGGAGTATGAATAGTTTCTGACAGAACTAATACTCCTACAAGAAGGACATAAAGCCTGTTTTTCCTTAAATTTTTAATTAATGGTTGGTTAAATTTCCCTTTGTTTTTCCAGGACATGTATGAAAAGATGATACAGATTGATCCTAATGCTCCAACAGATGAGGAGCATAGGTTGCGAGGAGTGACAAAACCAAGGTTAGTTCATATAGAATTTTACATTGTTTACGATGGTTATCCAGGAGGAGTAATGGGGATAGGGCTGTCATCTTGATATCAGCACACAGAGTAAATATTGCTCAAGCGGAGTGTCACTTATTCACATGTTGCCAAGTTGTAATATAAAAAATTAGTACCGCAAAAAAATCCTGCTAAATGTGAAGTCTGAGATGTTAAAAGACTTCTTTGGAAAAATTCATTCAGCGGCAGAAATTAATCGTTAGTTGTGTAGAGGTTATTTTCATATTGTGCCAAGTTAGAAGCATTCTGATTTCTGATGGGAATGGTCAAGGCGGTGGTGTTATCCCCACTACTTCTTGCACTACATGAACAGAGGTTCGCTACTTTTTGGATCACCCTGGCATAACTATTGAAAAAAACCTGTTGTTTTTTTGTGTAGTCATAGAGTTGTCTGCAGTGGATTAATCTATAATAAACCTATAAATTACAACTCAAAATGGAACACACAAAGGTTCACGTTCAAATACTTAAAGATCAGTTTTTTTGTTTTCATTTTGATTAACGAGTGATATGTGTATGTGTATGTTGAGGTGAATGGTCAATAAAAAACTTTTTTTAATGTGAATGGGTTGAAAAAGTACAGAAAATTCATCCCTTCACACATTATAAAGCTAAACAGTAAGAAACAAATTCACCTGTTCATTCAACCAACATAACAATACATACCAAATTAAAAAGAAGACACTCTGCAAAATTTTAGCTGGCAAAAGGCCTAATAAAAAATAAATAAAATATTGGTGAAGTTTTTGTATTAAATTTTATTGAAACCTATTTTAACAGCTCTTTGTGAAGATATTAGAGTATTAAGTTACGAGTCACTTGCATCTTTGGAATGGTGAACAGTAGAGAACAAGGCAGTGAAAAAAGTTTGTGTAATGCCTTAAGTGTGGTAGCTGGCCGGATTTGAATATGACTTTACATAAAACATTTAACACCCTGGATAGTTTTATATACCTTTGTTGACTTTTCATTTGTTGAATTCAATTACAGTAGACTCCCTCTTATTCGGACACCTTTTAACCGGACTACATTCGACGGAAATTACATCTCTTTAACCGGACTATTTTTATCAGCGCATCGGTTTAACCGGACTAGATCAGCAGGAAGTGGGTGGTACTGAAACGACTGTTCTAGTGGGAAAGATTTGAGACCAGTGATCACGTGTCTAAATACAATGCTCTCCTAAATTTAAGTCAAATACAGTAGACTCCCTCTTATCAGGACTCCTCGGGATCAGTGCCAGTCCGGATAACGGTTTTACCGGGTTAACCGACGTCCCCAAAAACTCGTTAAAACGGACCGTTTACTATGATATTTGACTTAAATTTAGGAGATCATTGTATTTAGACACATGATCACTGGTCTCAAATCTTTCCCACGAGAACTTAAAATAGTGTATAATGTCATACTGGGACAGTGGCGTTGTCCTGCAATCCAGCTACTAGGAGGTCACGAATTGTGGATATTTATAGGCATGCACTGTGGATGCGATGCTCCCTAGTGTGGATTAACGTCCGCACGAGTGAGTACTACGACTATCCGCAATACTATCCTCAAAATTTTTGTATATACCAAGGCAAAAACGTGGTTCAAATTCCACTATAAACTGTAGGTCCCTTAGTTGCCATTAGCTATTAATTAACAGCTGTGTCTAAGGAATACGTCGGCCTTAGTCACTAACAAGACTACAAGATCGCGCCACTAATCCTACACTCTCCATTCATACTTGGCATAAAATACCTGCAGTACTTTGTATGGTCGCCATTTCATCGAAAAGTAAAAGTAAACTGTCGTTTCAGTACCACCCACTTCCTGCCGATCTAGTCCGTTTAAACCAATGTGCTGATAAAATTGTCCAGTTAAAGAGATGTCATTTCCGCCGAGAGTAGTCCGGTTAAACCGATGTCCGGTTAAAAGGTGTCCGTATAAGAGGGAGTCTACTGTATGTATATATTTTTCAAGTATGAATTTAAATAGTCCGTTTTAACGAGTTTTTAGGAACGTCAGTTTAACCAGAAAAACTGTTATCCGGACTGGCCTCGGCCTGAGAAGTCCGGTTAAGAGGGAGTCTACTGTATAACCCTAAAGACATTTAACATCATAATGTTTGAAAAGTGCAATATATATTGTTAATATATTTTCCTGTAATCTTCCAAGTCACACACAGCTGACATCACTTTAATAATATACTTGGTTATTTCACAGGTACATGGTTTGGAGAGAGACAATATCATCAACAGCAACTCTGGGGTTTAGGATAGAAGGGATCAAGAAGAGTGACGGGAAGTCGAGCAAAGACTTCAAGACGACAAAAACCAGAGAACAGATCATTGAAGCCTTCACAGATTTCACTGATGGTTTCCCACATGCAGTGGTGAGTTTATTTTACCATTTTACCCAAATACTCCCATGGCTTTTATATCAAAGAAAGTATTTGGCATCATTAACTAACTACTTCCACTTCTGATCCTGTACATTTTTTGGCGTTATGGTTTACGGGGAGATGGGCTACTGATAAGATTATGAGACCTAGATGGTTTAAACATGCTCTATGATTCAAAATCTGATTCAGAAATCTCATTTTGGTGCAGAGCTCCCAATAGGCTCCAACTTTCAATGTATAAAAATAACAAACTGAGAAGTGTCTAAGAAAGAAGGGTAAGAAGAAATGCCTTTGTATTAATAAGATATGCTTCCCAAACAACCCATATGAAAACCCAATGTTATGTTACACTAATGATTTTCACATTATGTACTAGCTGTCATTTTGGCGTTTGTTGCAGCCCAAGTATTACCAGAGGTTAAAAGCGATCAAGGCAACTCTGGATGTTTCAGATTTCTTCACAACACATGAGGTAAGTTCAAGTTACCTTTTAGTTTTGTTTAAATATTGGTTAGTATGTTTCAGTCTAGACTGCATAAAAAGAGGTCAACAAAAAAGCGCCTTAGTTGATTATAACTTTAAGAGTAGGAAATTAGGTTGAAAAAGTATACTTCTCATCTTGAATCTCAATGAGATGGCATTGAAAAGTTACACTAACTATTCAAATCTGCTTCTTCAAAAATCAAGTCTCACATAAGATATGATAGCAGTTAAAAAACAACTGTAGAGTTCCGTTATTCCGAACCAATCGGGACCGAACCCCGTTTGGATCAGCGGGAATTCAGAATAAGTGGATTCAAGCTCAGTTCATAGACGGATCAGTAAAACTTCAATGCAATAAACTTATGCAATAAGTTCAGCTTCTTCCTTTACAAGTGTAGCAGCTAACTGTCTTGTCCGCATGTTCCAGGTTATCGGCAGTTCGCTGCTGTTTGTCCACGATCAGAACAACGCCAATGTTTGGCTGATAGACTTTGCCAAGACATTAGTTCTCCCTGAGGAACTGCAGATTGACCACGCTAGTGAATGGGTCGTCGGAAACCATGAGGATGGGTAAGTACATAGGTTGAGATGTTGTGAGAATTTAAAGTAGATAAATGTATTCAGTCCTCCCAGCCCTATTTATCTAATTTCCAGGTAGTCTGAGGGTAACCTAAACCCACGACTGATTTACTTTTTCGTTTTGATGTTCCCTGAGCCACAGGCCAACAACACCATCCCACAGGAAGTCCTTGTAACTTGCAACTATTTGTTGGACCAAAACATGTTGATTTGGTTTTGAAATATAACACTACTTTATCAACATGTTACTTTATGTTCCAGGTATATGATCGGAGTCAATAACTTGATTGAAATATTCGGCGAGATGCTGGAAAGGTCAAAGGCATCCACGCAAGTACCGACGACGATGATCACTGCACCTCAAGACCCGACGTGACCTCGAAATTAATTTGCTCCATATGACGAAGCAATCACATTGGTCCATCCTGTAGTCCAATCCTGACTGGGTCAGACACAGAGATTTTGTCACGACTAGGAAGGAACAGTAGAAAAAACATGACGTTTAACTGGTAAAATTACAGTTACAGAACAAACCTATGCCATTTCTAGACCTGCAATCTTTTAAACATTGATCAAGCTTTCCTAAATGCTTAAAGACTATTTGATGGTAGTTTCTACCATGGTTAGTATTTAATTCATTCAGTTACTTACTTGTTTATAAAAGTACAATGATTCTCCTTTATGGATTTGTAATCCCTATGGCTGAAGACTTTAAAAGGGGCATTTGTGTCCGATGGCACTTAAAGTGTCTCATATTTCATTTCTAGTTTTACAAACTTCTGTACTATGATCTAATAGTTAATTTGAAAATCACAGCTATCCTTCTCCGTATTAAATCCTATTGAAGTGTACACACACTGTCAAATTCACTCTAAAATAAAAATAAACATTTAGTCTACATCAATGCAGCCAAGTATTGTCGGACACATAACACATTTCAAACACAGGCTTAAAATCAGAAGTCTTCTTGATAATGTTAATTAATTAGAGGCTAATTATATTGAAATGCTGGGAGTATTATTTAATTTTTAAAATATTCACCTTTGAGTACAAATAATCCATATAAAGACGCTTATGAAGAATAATCCATATAAAGACGCTTATGAAGAATAATCCATTGTTACAGTAGAGGAAAATAGCAATATTTTATCGCAAATGTAACTGACAAATATTTTAATTTTAATACTTCAAATATGTTTTATGTGGTCAATTACATGGTTCAAATTACGGATGGTCAAATTATTATTAACTAATCATCCATCCTCTTCTATATAAGATGTGCTGTTCAGAAGCACAATACATAAACAATTTATATAGTTTATGTACGTAAATTGCAATTAAATGTAATAACACATTCTTAATTTCCACAAAATTATTTTGAGTGGGCAAAAACTCAATTAATAGAATATTATTTGAATCACACTTGACAATAGTGAAAAGTGTGAAAAGCAAATGCTTTGTTATATATATAATCAATAATCATTCATATTTATTTCATCCATCCATTTTTTTAGATCTTTGGATTTTGTATAGAGAAACCGTTTTGTAAGAAAATGCATTTGTAGAAAGTAAAAGATTCATAGTTATAGGTTAATATTTATTCTAATACATTAATTAGTTATCTTGTCAATGCACAATATAAATAGGACTGTAAATATTGTAAATTTATTTTTGTACAGTCACAGGGTGTCTATGACGAGTTTTGTTAATGTAGACAAATTGATATGAATTTCACCTTTCAAGTTTGATTGGTATTGTAGTATTGATTGGTTTATATATCTGTTGTGATTTGACACGAGCATACACAGACTTTAGCTGTTTACAGTTGGTATTAGTGAGTTGGTTCCTGCAAAGGCACTGCCTGTTTCATACATGTAAATATATTTAGCTTGTTAACTTTATTTCAAGTTTATATAGAAATGCAATGTAATGGTCAATATAATGTTGTTACTTTATCTTGTTGATCTGTTTTAATCAAAACTATTTTCAGAATAAAGTTTTTGAATATTGGTATATCATTTTAATAAAACTTCCTAATGTAAAATGTATTAAACAAAATAGTAAGGCGATCACTTACCCGTGCGCTTTCAGCTCTCGTATGTTGTGCTGGAAATAATTTGTGACGAGCAAGGAAGAGCCCGAGCAACTATAGACATCCCAAGAACTAAACAACCTGCGCAGAAACGAAAAGATCACGTGGTTCCCGCCGGTAGGTGTGGCGTACCCTTCAAACCTGCGCGGCTCGAAATGGCCCAGGGTTCTTTTGTTTATGGGATGTCTATAGCACTGTGAAAATATGGTCAGAATCCAGTAGCAATCACGGTCATTACACAGATCAGTTAGTGAAGGAAAGTAGAGTTATTTAAGGCGTTCACAAAGAAAGCTGGTTACAAGTATCTTATTTTCAGCATTTGATCCAAGCGATTGAGAATCTTGTTGTGTGTACAAACAAAGCTTGCATTTCAAGCTAGTTTTCTGTTAAGACAATGTTTTCATCAAGTGATGAAGAATTATTTTCTTGAGATACCGTACGAGTTCATTGATATCCATACTGCACGGTTGTTTGTCACTGACGGGTTCGGTCAACAAGAGCCGGAAAACAAGTACAAAACATTCTTGCACGCTTGTCAGAACTTGTAGCTTGTTCTTGCGCTTGCTAGCTGGGGCAAGCTTTGTCTGTGAATGCAAACGCTTGAAACAATGTAGACTTTCCTCACACTGGTTGGAATTTGCAAGCGCTTGTAACCAGCTTTCTTTGTGAACTCACCCTAAAAACTAAAACAAATACTTGCTTGTTTAAGGTAAATAAATGAAAACGACAGTACTAATATCATTATTTATTTTAATAAATAAATTACAGTAATTAAAATATCAAGAAATACAATCTCTCCTGGACATAACTAGTGGACATTTTAGTTGACGGTTACAAAATGCCATCATGCTAACACGTAGCCTAGATCCTAACAACGTGAGAACGGTTACGGTCACAGAGGGTGTACGTTTACGGTTACGTGCGAGATAGGACATTGTACCAGGACATGGCGCCAGTGTCAAAGACTGATTCTTGTACAAATCGGAATGTAAGAGAAGCTAGTGGAATGCCTGAAAAACGTACTATTTACATATCGAGACTACACACTAAAATTGATATATATATTTAAATTGGAGTACAAATCTCTTTGCAAATATTGCATCTTTAAATATAAGGTAATACTGAATACTTTGTAGTGAAACAAATCGATATTTAGTACTTTTTAAAAATTTAACGTCTCTTAAAATTATTAAAACAACGCTTAAAAATTCCATCAGCGGAGATAACTTTTATTTAGAATATTAGAGGTTGCTGTTAATCAAACTAACCAAAAAGGGTTAAACGTCAATAATTAAAATTAAAAAGACTCGAACATTAAGTGACTTTCATACATCTTACAGTGCATACTTAAAGCTAATCTAAAAGAAAGCGTTAACCTATAGAGTGATCTCGGATCCCCTCAACATTACACAACTCTCCTGGAGTTTTCCTCATAAGTCTTGTGCCGCAATCTCCTCCCGGGACCCAGACCTGACACCGGTCAGTTTACAATAGTTATTGTGTGCGGCAATTCAAACCGCTGAAAAAATCCACAGAGGATTCTACAAACTAATCAATTTGGGACAAACACTATAAAAATAATCACATTGTTGATCTCAAGCTGCCTTAACAGTAGGAAAAATTACTTATAAAAGAAAACGTGAGAGAAAATATACTCTAAGAGGATAAGCTTACAAACGGTCAGCTCCCGACATAGATACATACAGTGGTATATTACAGTTTATACGATATGCTGCCTATACTAACATGAACAGAGAGGAAAGCAACACCCAACACTACGACAGAACACAACTAGAAACACTCGGCATTGTACAACAGGAGGCTGAATAGAGGAACACCGCCTCGGCCTCGGTAGTTACCACTTTTGTCATGTTAATTTGATAATGAGTATTGCAAGCTGCATCATAGGCGTTGTAATGCTACTTTACAGTTACTTGTACAACGGTAATAAACCTTAATACAAAATAAAAATACTTTAGAAAATAATCTTAAACATAAATATGTCACATTTGGATCAAATGCTAAAAATTGTAAAACCAAAATATAATATAAAAGTAAAAAAAGTATACTTAGTAATGTTAGCTACATATAAATACTGATCGTATTAGTAAACTAAAGTTAACAAAATTCTTGAGTCATCAAATTGAGATTCCGATGGTATGGCACAAAAAAGTATTACTGTTCCTCTATGCAGCGTTAGATATCAAAATATGACCCTCATAATATGATCTCTTCTAGACTAACGGCAAACGGAGGTACAAAATATACATATGGCTGAGTGGTAACGCCTGCACACTGGACCTGCACAAGACAAAATAAAGTTAAACTCGTTACTTTTATGTAAACAATTGATTTACTGAAAAATCATCCTACATGGCACACTGAGGAAATTCTACAATGGTAATATGTTCAAGTTGTACAGTCATTAATTAACACAAAATCAGGAACAATAAAATAACCAACGTTAATCTTATTGAAAACTTGATTAAAAAACGAGTCTCACAAGGAAAATTGAGAGCAGAAGTTATTTTCTTTAAAAAATACAGGACGATGATTGAAATAAATAAAATAAACACTCCTACATTTCAAAAAGAATTTTTTTCACTATATTTCACATAGTATCCAACAATATTTGTACTATAAAAACTAAGCATTTTTTTGTAAAGCTTTCACATCGTCAACTGTTTCTCAAATCCATAAATACATAAAAGAAGAGAATGAGCAAAAAGATTCAAAAATAAATTCTAAAGAAAATTGAAATTCACAACATTGTTATTTGTGCTAAAATTGCTAACAACAAAGTCAACATTCTGAGCCTTTTTGTCATGTACTGGCAGCCTTCTTAACAACAATGTCAGATATGAAATGTGTTCACAACGTTGTTTTTTGTTTTATAGACTAACAGGAAGCATTAACTTAATGCCAGTGAGTTTAATCATAAACAAATAGAATAAATATAGACCGTCAGCTGTGCTGCGGTTAGCATAAGTTCTGGCATCCACCGCTAGGTTTGCCGTGTAGTTACGGCGCACACCGCTGCAGCGTCTGTTGATCGCATATGGCTCCTACGCTCCTCGCCTGCAGCGGTGTGCGCCGTAACTACACGGCACTCCTAGCGGAGGGTGCCGGAACCTTCCTTTGACAGTCTATATTATTCTATTTGTCTATGGTTTAATGCACTTTTCAGAACAAATCACACCCCGCTATCCAGCAGGACAAACAATCAAGAGCACTGACATCCGGGGCAGCCATTTAGAGTTTACAGTTACCAAAAACTCTAACTCTATATCAACTTTAACAAACTGATAAAACTAGAAGACTACTAATGGAGACCAATGCTGGTGAGATAACTGGTGAGTTTACTCCACTCCTTATCTTACCCACCCCAAACCGAATTCGCTTTCTGAATGGTTCTTGAACATGTTGCTCCCCCATTCAATAATAATTCACAAGAGCAAAAAGGATTTACTTAAATGGAAGGTTTTTATATGCTGCATTAAATTGTTGTGTGAAGAAATCAACTTATTTTCAGCTCAAACACAAAACACACTCTTATGAAATCGTCTAAAACTAGTTATTAATTTTCAACACTGACCTATTACTCCTTGACTTCAAAGTACTTGTATGTAGGATTCTCGTATCCGTTGATCTGCATGTTAGCAACATGGCGCTCCTCAGGTGTTGCTGCCTGGTCTACCTCCACAAAACCCTGTCAAACGCATTGCTTGATTAACACACATGACACATTATTTGACTAACAAACATGAGATCTTAAAGTTAACATAGTTTTTGGAAGTGCATAGCTCCAGCTTCAGACACAAACCCACCTGATTCTGAGGAGAGCGAGCATTGCGGCGGCGCAGGACTGCCACGCCAATGACAATAGCGGCCATGAGAGCGATGCCAGCAAACGCCAGAGTGAAGTACACACTCTTGGTCTCACGATGGTAAACTTCCCTCCTCACCGAGTAGGTCTGGACATTACAAATTAAGATTATTTTTGACAATATTAATTTGACTGTTCTACTCGATTGGCTCTGTAAGCCGGACTATTAGGAATCTACTGTTTACTGGTTGAATTACAAGTGACAGTTTAATTCTATTAACAAAAGTTAGAATTGCATCAGCCCTACAAATCACCCTACTTATTCACAGTCTTGGGTTGAAGGACCTGGGTTGTATCACTGGATAAGAAAGGTGAACAAAAATAATTACATGTATCATTCGTTTGTCATTGCACTCCTGAGCAGAGCGCCGCTACTGAAAGACGTTAGAAAGAAACTTGATGGTGAGTAGGGACAAATAATAACAAACTCCAAAACCTGTCTTTGGAAAGTAATGTTCTCTACGAGTACTTGAGATTTAACTATACTTATAAGTCAGAGGGGTTGTTAAAAATGTCAAATAGGCAGGTGTTCTTTAACAACCTGTTAAATGTAAATTTAAATAAATAACACCCATAATAGAAAGACGGGAAAATTTGCATGAACTGCAAAAGAACAAATGACATAACATTCAATTCTTATTTCATTTTGATTAATTTCTCAAACATATTCTATTAAAAATCATATTTGTGAGACTGAAAATGTTGACGTTAAACAATTGAAAACCTTCAACAACACAAGACATTCTAAGGTATTTGATTGTAACTTTAACAGTAACACCTTCAATATCACAAAAATTAAGCTTCACAAAATGGAAGACAATTAATTGATTTTATCACGTATTGCGAAAAGAACGACGAAGACTTAATGGTGATGACAAATATGTATTGGCTGCTTTACAAAAATTTTTCATTAATTTTGTTCTGTATTTCCTAATTCTTTCTAACTTTATTTCCTTTGATTTTAGCTATTGGGTTTATTCAAATGAAAACCTATTTACGTACAACATAACAATCAATCAAACAATGTGGGATGTATAAAATATAAAAAACAATAGTTACGTGACTGACGGGCTCGCGGTGACTGATGTCGTGCGCCATCACGTTGGACACTCGTGGCTGCGTAAGAACTGCAGGGGCAGCTACTGCAGGGGGCTGTGGAGCAGCAGTGGCAGTTGTGCTGCCTTCCCCTTCTGTCTCTCCCTCCGCTTCACTCTCCAGAGCTCGGGCCTTCTCCTCACGCAACTCCACTCGTTCCCGCTTGTGCAACTCCTTGCGCTGCTTCTCCAACACACGTTCACGCTCTTTGTCTGTAATAAGAAAAGAACATTGTAGTGTTTGTATTGTGGAAACACTGATGCCATTTGAGGATCCATAGCTTAAGCTTGTAGCACACATCCCACAGGTTGTCTAACTGTAGACAGATTACTGTGTGACTGCTCTAAAATTACTAAGGTGAGGGAAAGCACCCTTGACTCTATGATGATGGTCACGAGTGAGTTAAAACAACTTGCACATCCAAGTGACTATTGATCTAGACAACCTACAAAGGTTGGCTGGATCCATAATCATTTACAATTACAGCTGACTTTTAATACACATTAATTCTGACCCTTAAAGAGACCAGTAGGGTTTTGGATTACCAAGAATAACACAGCCGACCTATAAGCGAAGAAAGCTCAAAAGTTAACTGCACTCCTACATAAAGTAGAAATTTGCATATTTTAATTCAATAACTACACAAAATTAAGAAAATGAGAGGTGTGGTACCTTGCTGCATGGCTGTGACCTCTGCCCGGTACTTGTCCAGGATGGCAGCCTCAGCGTCACGTGTCATGGACAGTAGAGAGCCTGGCGTGTCGTCTTTGCTGCGGAGAGCCTGTATGTAGTCCTGCATCAGCTGGGAGATCTTGGCAGACAGTTCTGGGTATCTATGAATCACATGGAATAACAATTAAATGAAGTTCACTTTGAACATATAAGGCTTTGGATTTTCTCATTTGAAAGAACTGACCTAACCCTTCGAGATCTAAAGGAGATCTAAAGTATATTGGTTGCGAGACTAAAATACAGATGAGTGTGTAACACAACAGTTTGACCCTCTGTTGTCAATTGCCGCAGAGTGGGAGTCAAGTTTAAAACTAACGCTTGGCATTTGGTTGACCAGTGTTGTTCGTTTGGTAGAAAGTCTATGGTGTTGTCTCTCCGACCAAGGTTGAAACTACAAGGTGAAGAGGAGTGTAAAGATCAAAGTGAAACAGCCTTGGGAGGGACCCAGACCTGGTAATAACATGAACAGATATGTGTGCATGTTAGATAAACATACATCCAGTCACAAACCAAGGAGCAACCACTAGGTACTTCATCTAAACCACAATCTTTACTGTATATTACTGTATAAGGATTTTTTTTTAGGATAGGCTTACCTGAATGGGAAAAGGCCAAATTTGACAAAGGAAACACAAAACTTTACATTATATAAAAAAAATAATTCACTGCTATTGACAGCTTTCAAAAAAGAAAGAGTTGTCTTCGCCCTTACCAAGGACGGTAGAGGGATTTTTACAGTAAAATATTCTAACTTTTGTGTTAGTGAAAGTATGTTTCTTGTGCCTGAGTTGACACTCTCCCATTCAGATAAGCCTGCTATTCTTACAAGAAACCTTACAACCTAGCCCATTGTGTTTTATATTACAGCCAAAAGGTCACCAGTACAAACTATTTTGTCCAAATTAATCTTTTACTAAAAATTCACAACTTATTGCTATTTTCTGGTATACAGCTAGACAAACCTCTGCAGCATCTGCAGGGACTGGTTGACTGTGTGGTCAATGTCCACCAGGTGTTCCAGGGTGATGGCCTTCTCTCTCTCAGCCTGCTCCAGACTGGAGCCCAGCAGGTGGCGGTAGTGGGAGATGGTGTGATGACGGTCCTTGTGCAGCGACCTCAACAACTTCTGTAGACACTTCTGTACTCTGTGTGTCTGTGACAAGAAGGAAACTTGTTAGAAACAAAACAGCCACGCAGAAAGTGTGAGTGAGGTATGGGAGCGATACTTGATAGTCAAGTGTCAATGTGCAAATATGCTAGAAATTAAAGCGAGACACAACTTAATCATCTTTTTGTCAAGAATGAATGTGAGGTGTGTGCGAAAGGTTTTATTTGTTACTAAGTTACAGCTGGTTCTTAACCAATGATGGATAAGTGTCATCCATCTTGAGTCAAACTGACAATGTTCTAAGTAGTAGGAAAGTACCAATCATATCATCTTTGTTGGGATTGCAAAAACCAATTGTTTTTTATTTATTTTGTTGTTTTTTTTTTTACAATTTGCAATACTGCAATACAAATTGCCAATGCTGCAGTATAATCAATCTATAGCAATACAGGCATCATCAACTTTTATATTAATTTAGACTATTTAGAAGCAAATCCATCGAGGAATCAGAATTTATACATTTATTTATACAGTATCTGGAAAATTATTGCATTACTCTCATTAACTAATAACAATGGATAATATTTCAGCCAAAATATGCTTTTGCTGAAAAATAACCTAGCCAAATGTTTAGACCTAATGTCTTCAATAGGAACTGAAATGCTGTGGATAACTCACAACTTTTGGATGGTATAATTTATGAATGAAATATTATTTGAACATGTTATATATCAGTATTGTTGTGATACTTACGTTGGGTGGGCTGTCATTGAGTGCCTGAGTGTAGCACATCATGGCCTCCTTCTTGCGCTGGTTGATGTGAGCCATCACTCGCTGTTGATGCATTGCCACCAGCTGATGCTTCTCCGCTGCTCCTTCCTCCTCAAGACTCTGCACTGTCTGTTGGAACCTGTACCACAAATGTTGCTTTAGTATTTACGTTTATATTCAACCCTCAATGTTTGTACGCAACAGTGGCATAACCAAATTTACCTTAACATACAGTCTATGAGAACAAAAACTAAACCAAAAGACTAAGTTGCCTGGGAGTCAAGATACAAAGTCAAGATTAGACTTACAGTTGACCAGAACTGTCAAAGGAGTATATTGTTAGGTATGATCAATGGCTGTTTCACATATACCCGAGTGTCGGGTGTCATTTAATTTGATCATGTCAGAAATAGACCTTTGAACTACTTATTAGTTTAGTTTAAGAACAGCCAGTCTTATGGGACAAGACAGCAGAAGAGTACAAAGATCACCATAACAAAAAATGAAATGAATGGAGGACAACTGCCAGAGTGCCTGTGCTGGTTAGAAGTCAGGTTAACGCCGGGTATAAGTTAAACAAGCCTAAGGAATTGTCTTTCTGACCATGAGACAGCCCATAGATACATGGTTTCTTGATCAGCATCGTACGTGTTATTAAATGACCTAAAAATATATGTCTAATAACATTTTTAGTTATCAGACAATTTTTTTGTTTTTTGATACATGGTTTAAAATTAACAGTTAAGTAATATATCGTAAAAGTATGAACACCAGGGATAGCTTTTGTCAGGCTAGTTTGTTGCGGCCTCCATCATGCCTATAGCCTGATTATTACTGTGAATACTTTATCACCTCTGCAGTCACCTAACTGGTGCAGAGTCTGCACCAGTTAGGTGAGGTCTAAATCCAAACTGACAACTCATCCTACCTGAGAGTCATCCTCTGTTTGAACTGCTCGGCCATGTGAGGGTCGCTGGTCCTCATGTCTTGATATCTCTCCTCCAGATCTGACCAGTCCTTCATCACCTGTAACACAAGTGGCTATAGACTGAATATACAGTTGGATATATACTTGGTACTATACCTATCGACAATGGAAAAGGCATACTAAAAACTTATTAAAACCAGCTGTGTCATGCTACAAGATCACAACAACTCTAGGAGGTTTTATTGATTTTTACAAAATAAGGACTCTAAAAAATTTTAGTATCCAACTACTGTGATTGGTAGGGCATGGTTTTACTTTTACTCTGTTTGAAAATGTTAAACTGTTATTTACATGTCATTGTTTGTTAACAATAAGGTGTGTCATAAACTTGAGAGACAAAATGAGCCTGAGGTTTCATAAGGCAGTAATAATATACTATTTGTCTTGGTATTAACTTTTGTCTACACCAATGACATTTTAAAACATCTTAAAAACATGTTGACATTTTAAAAAGAATCTTAAACCCTTTTAAGGGAAAGCAGGCTAAACTCCTAAATTTTTTTGTAGATATACGGGGGATCGAACCTATTCCTTTATCACCAGTTTTCAAGATACTAACTACTAAGTTTGCAGCATCTTTATGAGACAAACTGGACCAATTAAAGAGTTACACATTTAAGTTAAGGAAAAATGAAAGGTAAAATCTAATGACATACCAGCATTGTTTCTGCCTCAAACTGATACCGTTGTATTGGATATTCACTATACACACTTAGGTAAAAACTTGATACACCATCCATTGACATTAAAGGAACTGAAAACTACCAAAACTAGCTGTGCACTGACTACAAGTTTTTAAAATCGTAGGTTCATATTCCTCGACGTTTGTTGTTCATATTCCTTGACAGTGAAATATCCCCAAGTTGCACTACCGACTGTATGTAACAAAGGCATGGAGAAAAGCTCGTGTGGCTGCACTGCTCAAACCTGGGAAAGATCCAAATGATCCTAAGAACTTTCGACCTGTTTCTCTCTTATGCCACACATATAAAATCTTAGTACGTCTGATACTTAATCGAATCGGCGATTTTCTGGAACAAAAGATCATTCCACAACAGGCAGGCTATCGATCAGGCAAGTCTTGTTGTGGCCAAGTTTTAAACCTGACCCAGCACATTAAGGATGGGTTTGAGAGAAAACAGATCACGGGTGTCGCTTTTGTAGATTTTACAGCTGCCTACGATACCATAAACCATCAAAGACTCTTGGGAAAAGTGTAGAGCATTACCAAAGACTATCAGCTGACTTCAATGATAAGCACTTATCTTCATAACAGACGGTTTTTCGTGTCCCTTCAAGGCATGAAAAGTAGATGGAGGAATAAAAGAAATGGATTGCCTCAGGGTAGCGTCTTAGCCCCAGCTCTTTATAACATATACACTAACGACCAACCATTGCCAACCCTACACATCAGTATAAATATGCCGATGATACGGCGGTGGCGGCACAAGGTAGGAGTTTGGAAGAGGTGGAACAGAAGCTGACCATGGCTCTAAATGAACTTTCCCAGTATTATGATGCAAATCACCTCAAGCCGAAACCTGCTAAGACCCAAGTTTGTGCCTTTCATCTAAACAATAGAGAAGCAGGCCATGAGTTGAATGTGAGGTGGCGGGGAGACCGTCTTCAGCATTTTCCTACACCCAAATATCGAATGCATCGTCACATGCAAAAAAGGTTGACATTGCAGTCAATGACATGGCTCGGATTGTAAGTGGGTGTTTGAAACCAACCCCAGTACACAAACTCTACCCTATCATAGGGATCACTTCTATATCAATCCGACGTGATGTCCCTGCTAACGCAGAAAGGACTAAGCAAGAGACAGACCTTCGTCACCCATTACACGGCCACCAACCTGCAGAGCGACGGCTTCGGTCCAGAAAGAGCTTTTTATCACGGACACGAGTCCTGGATGGATCACTCTCAAGCAATCGAGTGGCAAGGTGGGAGGCCACGTTGATTAACCCTCCCATACCAGCCAGAGAGGAACTGGCTCTTGGTGGAGGCCTGCATTACACAGTGTGGAAGACCCTAAATCGAATCAGGGTCGAGGTACCAAAATGCAAGACAACATGCAGAAATGGGGTCTCTAACCAGACGAAGAAAATATCTTGTGTGCGTGTGATGCTGTTCAGGATCCTGGCCATCTGCTGATCTGTCCGTGCCTAGACCAGTCTTGCACATTAGATGATAATTACCAAGCAAATTTTTGGAAAAGCGAAGTCTGATTTTTGGACACGGAAAGTAAGTACTACCGACTGTAATCATAGTTTTTTACCAAGTCTAAAAAAATGTGTTTTTAAAGTTGAAAAATGTAATTAACTCAAAAGGACACAAAACGAGCCAATTTCAGACATTAAATACATACTTAATTGTGACAACACCTATCACATTTATGTTCAGAGAGAGAAAAAAAAATTGGGAAAAATATCTAGCTATCAAAGCTAAGAGTCCTTTGAATCAAAGTACTGGTAAATTGATCAAAATCTACCACACCACTAGTCTCACCTTAGTGACTTTCTCCCTATGCATCTCTTCCAATCTCTGCTGCGCCTCCTTGTAGGCTCGGTGTTCCTGACGAGGGTCAAAGTGTGTGAAGTACGGGTCCGGGGTTGGCAGACCTGTCGTAGGACGTGGCGGGACCGTCGTGGTGGTGCTTGTTGTGGTACTTGTGCTGCTGGAGCTCACAGTCATACTGTTGTCATCGTAGCTGTCGTAGTCATCGTCATCATCGTCGTCATCATCATCGTCAATGTCATCATCGGCTTCATCATCCAGAGTGTCGTCACCGTCATCAACATTGTCAAACACATCCGGCAGAGCTGGTGGAAGGACTTTCTTCATTGTTACTTTATCTGCAAATTGTACGGTTGAATTTAGACTGAGATAAACCAATAAATCTAGGTTAATGGATTGGATTGATTTATGAAACTATAACAATTAATAACGTGGGAAATAGGGGAAACAAAAGATGTTTTTTCATTGGCAGTTTATTTTGCAAGTCATAACAAGTCCCTAAAATAAATCATCCAGACTTGCACCAATTCCCATGCCTACATGTGATTTGTTCCAAAAATAAAAACCATGTATTTATTTGAAGAAAGTTGTAACGGGTCAAATGTGTAGGGGGTAAAATAACGGCTAAACCACGAACTTTAAACAGCTAAACATAAGCTGTTGAGTAAGCCTAGTCGCGACACTAAACTGACGTCGTACCTAACCTCCAATTCCAAGACCGCAGACGACGTTGGTGTCAGTTTGGTTGTTTGGCTGTTCGACTGCATCTGAGGCCGGGCTACGGGAGAGAAGATGAGCAGCGAGGTCACCTTTGAGCGGTACGCAGCTGTAAGCCTGTTAAAGCTGCCATGCGCCTGCCTTCGCTGCCAGTTTTTTTTTTTTGTTCGGTAACTCGTTGACCAATCAGGAATCGTTTTAACTTTCGTCTCGATTCTGAGACGAAGGTGAAGTAAGAAGAAGTTTTTGTGAAGTTTTTGGTCATTCGTATTCCCGGCTTTTGAAGGATTCGCTAATACGTCTTTTCGTCTTCGATTTGAAGAGTTTTTGTTCTTTTTCGTTCGTCGCTTAAAAGTTCGCCTACATTAAGTTCGTGGTGCATCGAGTGTGCTAAAAGTGTTTTACAGTAGTATTACTTCGTTTGGTAAGTTGTGTAAAACTAAGACAACTTAGGTTTTTCTTTTGTCACTTGTGTTTCGGCAGAACTTTGTCGAAGTTCCTAGGCTAGGCCTGATTCGCAGACCTCGTCATACGCTTTAACCAACTCATTTAATTAAAGTATCGGAGTTGGTGACAGATCATTTCGATTAACGTTTCGTAATCCATATCTGGGACTTTCTTTTTAAATTCTTAAACCCCTTTATAAAGTTCCCGAACGCCCCGAAGTTGGCCCCAGCAGACAGGTTTCTGCTTGATAATTATTGCAGAAGTTTGCTTAAGTTGAACACGTGGGGAAGTTGAAGTTTTAGTTTTTCTTTTTTCGTATCAGCTCTTGAAGCAGTTTTATTTTTAGTTTCAGTTTTTCTCCCGTTTCGTGTCTCACTTGGACAACTTAAGCCAACTCGTTTTTTCTTGTCTAGTAAATTCAGACTCTGTGGGAGTTAGGCTAGGTTAGGCCTATCTTGTACTAACCTTGTTTGTTTCAGGGTGACGACGTAACTCCGTAGGTAAGCGGAGTGCCTACTTAGCTTACTTGTTGATTTGTTAAGTTAGCTAGTAGTGTGTCTTTTAGATATTTGCCCACAGAGTCAAGTCAAAATTATTTATTTCCCCACAAGCCCTAGGCTAGAGTGGTGATTTCAAGTAGGGTGTTTAGTAACCCGCAACGTTCGTCTCGAGCTCTGACAACCAGGGCTATCAAACTTAGGCTATCCGAATCACTATCGACTCCTGGGAAACTCCCCGCGACCAGACTAGGGCGAATCCTGGGATCCTCGTTTTGTTACCGGTGGCGTAATTTCCCACTTGTCGTCCGCCAGGAAAATTACGTCACATAAATGGCGCCCGAACCAGTTGGACCAGTGATTGGATAGTCTGATAGTACTTGGTGAGCTCAAGCTAAGATCGCTGTAGCAGCTGACGGAGAGTTGTGAGATTTTAGCCTACGTTAACCGCTCTAGCCTTTCAAGTATTCGCCTAGGCCTACTGTTATTTTTTATTCTACGTTAACGTTCTAGCCTAGCATTTCTAGTTTATTAGGTAGCTTAGGCCTACATATTTTCTGGTTTCGTCATTGTAGCCTATTGCTAGCCTAGGCCTATTGGTGTTTAGCGTTAAATATTTTAGCCTATTTGTGTGATAGCCTATTTGTTTTAGGTAAAACGTTGCCTATTGCATTTTAGCCTTTTATTATTGGATTTTGGAGCAGTTTGGACTTGGTCCTATTTCAACAAATTTTCTGGGTTCTGAGTACCTAGTTGGGACTTAGGCTGAAAAAAAAAAAAAAAAAAAATTTTTTTTTAGTTGTCTTGTTTGGACTTAGATAGTGCTGTTTAACGTTAGGCCTGAATTTAAAGAGGCCTATTGTGGATTTTTCATACTTGTTAAGCAATTTCAGCCTTTTTAAATTGTTGTTGCCATTTGTTTGTTTTGTTGTGCACTAATACCTTGCAGCTATGCCTAACTCACTCCCTGAAGTCTCGACGCCAGGAGTTTTAACCACGGCTGGTGCAGTGGTGACTACGCCTTCTGTTATCCCGACCTGCTCGTGCGCATCGACGGTTACTACCACGTCAACGGTGTACACACGACCGGTGACCTCAACCGGCTATACCGCTCCGCTCCAACCCACGGAAGATCCTCGTGTTGGCTGGATACACGAGCTGTCCAAGCAACAGTTGATGGTGGAGACGGCGCGACACCATTTGCCGTCCCATGGTACAGTGGCGGAACTGCGCAAACGTCTCTGCACGTACTGGCGAGACAACGCTGGTACATCGTCTTCTCCAACCTCCCAGGAGGAGGTGTTCACGACTGGCCAGGTGGTAGATAACCAGGCCCGGAGTTCGCTGCATGAGCCTACTCCACGCCTTTCGCCTTTCGACTGCCGAACGGGGTCAACGCATCAACCTACTGCTTGGAGACCACCTGGTACCTATGGCCTAGTAGGCCTACCGAGGGCTACGTTCCAACGTCAGAGCCCACCTGCTGCGGTCACCTCGGCATCACATGAACCCTCACTCGCAGGACTAGAGAACTTGACTGACGCTCGACATGCCTTCGACTTCGCTCCGAGGTCTTCGCTCCCGGAAAATTCTGATGCCGATCCGGTACGTCACACTTTGGACCGCATGCGGCAGATGCTCGGCCTATCGCCCAATGCTGACATGCGCAGCCTAGAGCACACGTTAGCCGAGGTGTTGAACCTCGAACAGCGGGGCTCACGACGTGAGGAGGACTACGCCGAGCTTCCAGTCCACGGGATCGACCCGCTAACCTCCCGATACACAGTCCCGTCTCGGCCAAGGGATGGATATGGAGGTGTCCTGTCTTCGTATGTCCTACGGAGTGATGACCGGCCTGATGACGTTGCTAAAACGTCGTCCGCCCTCTGTGACAAGGTCCGGAAGTGGAACTTGCGCTTCGACGGCAGACGAGATGCGGTTTCGTTCCTGGAGCGTCTAGAGGAGCTGCGCGAGGCCTACTCTCTGTCGCCAGAAGACGTTTTGAAGGCTTTGCCTTCACTTCTACATGGCCAAGCTCTCCTCTGGTACCGGAACAACAAAATGATGTGGCGTTCCTTCCGCGACTTTAGGCGGGCATTCGAGGTCCAGTTCTTCCCGGCTGGCTATCATCGCCACTTGGATGACGAGATACGGAAGCGCACTCAGGGTGAAACAGAGGCATTTAAAGATTTTGTGATTGCTCTGACAACCCTGATCCGACGGAGCGGCACTTTCTCTAACCAGGAAACTATCGACCTGGTGTACTTGAACATGAGGCCGGAATACAAGTTCATGATACGACGTCATGACTTTGTCACGCTACCCGACCTCATCGAGCGAGCCGACGAATACGAGGAGCTGCTACGGGAGCGTAAGCTGTTCCGCCCTCCCCCTCCGGTTGCTCAAGCATTGGTGCCTGAGACGGCCTACACGCCCAGGCGTCGAATGGACCGTTTCGTCGATGTTGCGGTGATGGACCATTCTGAGCCCGACCGTAAACCGCAACCTACCTCGCCCAAGACCGGCCGCACTGGTGATTACCCTGCAAGGAGTGGGGGTAACCAGCCAAAGCATACGACAGCCACCGTTCCTAATAATAGAAACCGGGGCCTACCGTCTACGAATCCATCCCGACCATCGAGTAACCGCAACCCTCCGGTCTGCTGGAACTGTGATGCACGCGGACATGTCTTCCGAGATTGCACTCAGCCGAAGGTGTTGCGGTGTTACTACTGCAAGCAAGTCGGAGTGGCCACTACAAGCTGCGGTTGTCGCACGGGAAACGCCAGACGGACTCAGGCCGCCGGAGGTCGCCTGAGCCCACGTCCCGTGGCCGCACTACCTCCGACGAATGGAGCTCATGGCTCCAGTACATAAGGGCCTTTACCGAATCGGGCTCAGGAATCGTGAGGTCACTTGAGCCCGCAGCGCAGCCACCTACGACCTCTACCGAGCTCAATTACGTGAGCAACTCGTACGTGTCGGCTGGAAAATCGTCTGAGTCGACCGACATCCGACCTTTTGTCAACGTCACGCTCCTTGGGAAGGGATTTCACGCTCTGTTGGATACCGGAGCAGTTGTAAACCTCGTCGGGGATGAGGTTGTTCGTCACTTCGACGAGTGTGGGGTGAAACCTGAGATTTCTTCAGCGGACCTGAGGATGGCTGATGGTACACGTTGTCGGATTGAGACGAAGTACCACATCCCGGCCCAGATCTTAGGTGAAAACCTCATACTCGGAGCCTATTTCGTGCCTGGGCTCACCACGGACGTCGTATTAGGTATGAGGTGTATTCGAGACCTTAACCTCATACGTATAAACGTCAACAACGATGGCACATTCGACACGACCACGACTCTCCCTTGTGCGACGGGCACATTGGAACCGCTGACGTCAAAGGAAGAACAGCATCTCAAGAATTTTCTCGAGAAAGAACTTCCTCTCTTCGATGCTGTTGCGGGACCCACGGCGTTGACTGAGCATGTCATCCGGCTCAAACCAAACGCAGTCCCGATCAAACAGCGCCACTACCCTCGTAACCCTGCAATGCAAGCGGTCATCAACGATGAAGTAGCTGCCATGTTGAAGGATGACGTAATCGAACCATCCGAGAGTCCATGGAGCTCTCCGATCGTGTTGATCCGGAAGTCGACTGGGAAATACCGCTTTTGCATC